CGCCGTCTTGAGCCGTCGGAATGCCGAGAAGAAGAAATTGCCAAAGTCTTTCAGGGACCTCAGGACGATCAAGGATTTTGGCCTCTTCGTGCCCTCCTGGAAGACCTCCTGGACGCCTCGTGGGCCGTCTTGGAGGCCTCTTGGGGGCCTCTTGGGGCGTCTTGGGCCATCTGGAGGCCAGCTTAGGCCGTCTTGGATGCATCTTGGACCAGCTTGGAGGCATCTTGGGGCCACCTTAGCCGTCTTAGAGGCCATTTGGGCCGTCTTGGAGGCCTCTTGGGCCCTGTTGGGGCCGTCTTGGGGGCCTCTTGGGCCGTCATGGCGTCATCTTGGAGGCGTCGTGGGCGATCTTGGGGGCCTCTTGGGCCGTCTTGAGCCGTCGGAATGCCGAGACGAAGCAAATGCCAACATCATTCAACAACCTCAGGACAATCAAGGATGTTGGCCTCTTCGGGCCCTCCTGGAGGACCTCTTGGAGGCCTCTTGGGCCGTCTTGGAGGCCTCTTGGGGGCCTCTTGGGCCGTCTTAGGCCATCTGGAGGCCATCTCAGGCCGTCTTGGGTGCATCTTGGGCCGGCATGGGGCCATCTTGGAGGCCATCTTAGCCATCTTGGAGGCTATCTTGGGCGTCTTGGAGGCCTCTTGGGGCCCTCTTGGGGCCGTCTTGGGGGCCCCTTGGGCCGTCATGGGACCATCTTGGAGGCCTCGTGGGTGATCTTGGGGCGATCTTGGAGGCCTCTTGAGCCGTCTGGAGCTGTCGGAATGCCGAAAAGAAGCAGATGCCCAAATCCTTCAACACCCTAAGGAAAATCAATGATTTTGGCCGTTTCGGGCCCTCCTGGAGGACCTCTTGGAGGCCTCTTGGGTCGTCTTGGGCCGTCTTGGAGGCTTCTTGGGCGAATTTGGAGGTATCTTGGACTCTCTTGGGCCGTCTTGGATCATCTTGGGCGGACTTGGAGGCCAGGCACCCCTGCGATGAATCGACAGGGGGCGGCGGATCGAAGACGCCTACGGCGAATCACCGCCGCCCCCTGCTTTTGTGGAAGCGCCCATGTGGCCGAACGTTGAGGCCAGACCTGCCAAGCCATCGGACCATGTGTTCCCCGAATCGGTTTGGAAAGCCTTCGGGGAACACGTGGGCATCTTGAAGGTCATCTTGGCCGTCTTGGAGGCCTCTTGGGCGATCTTTCGGCGATCTTTTGGGGCTCGTGGGCCGTCTCGGGCCGTCGGAAGGCCGAAAAGAAGAAGATGTCACAATCCGTCAAAAACCTAAGGGAGATCAATGTTTTTGGCCTCTTCTGGCCTTCCTGGAGGCCCTCTTGGGGGCCTCTTGGGCCCTTTTGGGCCAGCTTCGAGCCAACTTCGGCCATCTTGGTGGGTTCCTAGCACGTCTGACGCCGTCGGGAGCCGTCTCGGGGGCCTTTCTGAGCCAACGGGGACCCTCTTGGGGCGCTTCGGTGCCGTCTTGGAGGCCATCTTGGGCGTCTTGGAGGCCATCTTGGGCTTGTTGGAGGCCTCTTGGGCCGTCTTGGGGCCCTCTTGGGGCCATCTTGGAGGCCACTTGCGCTGTCATTGGGCTCTCTTGGGGGCCTTTTGGGCGATCTTGGGGGCCTCTTGGGCCGTCTTGAGCCTTGGGAATGCCGAGAAGAAGCAAATTCCCAAATCCTTCAACAATTTATGGAAAATCAATGATTTTGGCCTCTTCGGGCCCTCCTGGAGGACCTCTTGGAGGCCTCTTGGGCCGTCTGGGAGGCCTCTGGCGGGCTTCTTGGGCCGTCTTGGACTCTCTTGGGCCGTCTTGGAGGTCGCCTTGGACCATTTTGGGCGGACCTGGAGGCCATCTTGGACCATCTTGGAGGCCATCTTGGGCCATCCTGGCCATCTTGGAGGCCATCTTGGAGCCGTCTTGGGCAGACAAGTAGGGAATTGAGGTCCGTGGAAAAATCCCGGGACCCCGGCGGGGCGGGCCGAAACCCACTGGGAGAGTTCTTTTGGAAAAAGAACCAAAACCAAAACCGAGAGGATTCGGCACGCCAGGCACCCCTGCGATGAATCGACAGGGGGCAGCGGATCGAATGGCCTTCGGCCCATCCTGCCACCGTGTCAGGGTTGTGGGTCAGAGTTCTCAGGGATGCTTCTTGGGGTCTCGTCGGAGCGCCTTCGAGGGCCTCTTGGCGGCAGTTCTGGGGCCTCTTGGGAGCCTCTTGGAGTCCTCCTGGGGGCTTCTTGGGGCCTCTCGGGGGCCTCTTGCGGCCTATGGGTCCGCCTCTTGGGGGCCTCTTGGGGCCTCCTGTGGGCCCCTCGGGGCCGAGGGTTCGAAATGTCGATTCGGGTTCTCCATCTGGGACCCCTCTTGGAGCTGTCTTCGAGCCCTCTTGAGCTTTCTTGGGCGCCTCTTGGGCCGTCATGGGGCACTCTTGGCCTGTCTTGTGGCCCTCTGGGGGGCCTCTGGGGCCGTCTTGAGGCGATCTTGGGGTCCTCCTGGGCAGTCTTGAAGCGTCGGGAAGCCGAAAAGGTAGAAGGAACGCATGTTTCGAAAATCCCACAGCAATCCGTGATTTCTGCATCTTGGGACCTTCTTGGAAGGCCTCCTGGTGCGTTTTTGAAGCTTCTGGTGCCGTCTTGAGGCCATCTTGGACATCTTGGAGTGATCGTTTGGCGATTCGAAGCCCTCTTGGATCGTTTTAGCGGGCCTCTTGGGGCCCTCTAGGCCAGTCTGTGTGCCCTCGTGGGCTCGAAAACGTCACGCGGGGAGCTACGCGGGGAGACGATCCAAAGCCCAGGAGAAGCGCGCCAAGCCCTGGAAGATTTGAGAATGTGGGGTCTGGGTCTTTAAGAGACTTCAGGATTGAGGACTGAGGCTCAGGGCATTGGGCAAATGACCTTAGGACACGCCCGCTCCGTGCCCAGCGGCACGGTTGCGGGTTCTTCTAAGGGGGCACGGTGGCGGGTTCTTTGCGGCAGACTTCGCATTCGGACTCGATATGCTGGTGTGTGTTGTTATGCGCACTGCGTGGACTCGTGACTGTGCTGGGCTCGTCGTGACGCTTTTCTGTGAATGTGTGGAACTGCGCCCTAAGGCGAGTCTGGCGCTTGGACGGCCGATAATGTCAATCAGACCAGCCTTGCAGCGCGCACCCTTTTGAACCTAGCGTGAGACGTGCCTTCACCGTCAGCCCCGGCCTTGGGCGAGCCACGCGCGGCGCTGCAGACATTCCGCAAAACCGACTTCATCACAAGTATGCGTGAGGTGCGCTAGTAATGAGGGACACACTTGCCAGACGTGCAACAAAACACAACCTTGCTTGCATCGCTGCGCGACGAAAGCGTGACATTGTGCACCGACCGAAAGCATTACATGTCATAGACCCTGACCATCGTTGGGGGACGCGGTGGCAGGAGGGGGGCAGTCGGGCATTGAGAGATTGTTCATGCAGACAAGTCGACTGAGGAAATCTGCATACATTCACTCGGCATTTGCATTCGAGTGTACCGGTGCAGTCCCCAGTCGGTTTCGCTAGTCGACGCGCATTCGCGTGTTTCTGGACGTTGGTTAGCTACGCCGCTGGGGTTCACTCGGAATGCGGTGCCGTGCACACGTGGAGTGTCTCTGTTCTTGGCATCGCTCGGACGCGTGTTTGGCGGGGACCATCGAGGAGCATCGTGGGCCATCCTGCGAAAAAATACGCGCACGAAGCCGAAACGTGCGCGGGGAAGGGACGTCCGAGCGATGGCGAGGTAGCTTTCACCAAAGGGCGTTTTGCAACAGAGTGCTCGGCCAATCTTCGAGCCCAGATGGCGCAGATCCTTGGATTCCAGATTTTGTCCGTCGCGATCGGTAGCGACCGATCGGCACTCCAACTCGGCCGCGACCGATCGCGACCGATGCGACCGACTGTGAAGTACATCAATCGCGATAGCGACCGATCTCGTCTGTCGCGGCCAGAACACTCTGGCATCGAACGATCAGGGGAGGAGGACGGCAGAGAAGGAGGAGGAGGAAAAGGCGGAGGAGGAGGAGGAGGATTTGTGTAAACCTAAGAGTCATCAGCGTTGTTGGAATAAACCCTCCTTCCAGGCTCCATCTTCATAGGCCCCTACAACGGTCCATTTCCATCCAAGCTACTGCCTTTTTTGAAAAACAACCGTTTGAAGACCCAGAAACATGCCAAAACATTGTTCCCCGGATTCCAGCGCCACGGATCAACCTGAATGTTGCGTTTGAACAATCCGGAATCTTGCCAGACAGCCATTCTTTGGATTTCAAGACAGAGAATCAACATGATTGTTGCACCCGCATCATCCTGACCCCATTCAAAACAGCATGTCTGGCAAATGATTAGAGCGAACGTGCGCCGCGCTAAGGCGAGAGCCACATTTTGAGAAGGAACCGCCCTCAATCCGCGAAGCTCTTGCACATCTTGAAACGAAGGTGCGCCGCGCTCAGGCGAGAGCCACATTTTGAAAAAGGAACTGCCCCCAATCCGTGGAACTCTTGCGAATGTTTCAAACGAATGTGCGTCGCGCTAATGCGAGAGCCACATTCAAAAGCAAACGGCCGCTTTAAATCCGTGAAGCTCTTCCACATATCTAAAGCGAATGTGCGCCGCACTAAGGCGAAAACCATATTGAAACACGACCCGCCCTCAATCCGCGAAGCTCTTGCACATGTTTCGAACGAGTGTGCGCCGCGCTAAGGCGAGAGCCACATTTTGAAAAAGGAACCGCCCCCAATCCGTGAAACTCTTGCAGATATTTCAAACGAATGTGCGCCGCGCTAAGGCGAGAGCCACATTAAAAAACGGCCCGCCCTCCATCTGTGAGACAGATGCCACTTTCAAAGTTTCAGTGTTGCAATATGTATGGAAGTCTCAGGCGAAACGCCCGGCGCTCTCTATAAACTGGCCTCGGGGTGCGACAGGGAGCAGTTATGCACAAGGAAAAGGAATGGAGGAGGAGGAGGAGGAGGAAGAGGAGCAGCTGCAGAAGGGGTAGCGCCAGGCGCGCGGGTGCCAGGCTGGTCTGGACGACACCTTGACCACCAGCGCTTACACCAACCTGAGCGGGGCCGAGGCTTCCTCTTCCCAAGCCCCCTGCGCATGGGGGGCAAGAGGGGGGGAGGCGAATGCAGATTCAAGAGCTCCGATGTTTATGCCGTCTTGTCTTCCTCTATACTTGACGAGGGGTGGATCCAGGCCGCCCACAGCCCAGGCTTTTCTGTCACCCTCTCGGGGTAACGCCAGCTAGAACGTTGGTTCCGGCCAGCAGAAAGGTGGGGGGAAGGGGCCCCCTCGTCGCCATGGCTGGACACGGCAACAAAAACATTGGGGTTTGGGGACCAGTTCTAACCAATTTTGCTGTCACCCCCGCCGCGCTGATCAGATTTTCCTTCTTATTCAACTCAGGCCCTCCTGGCCGCCTCAAGCCCCAGAGATTTGGACGATCAGTTCTTCATCCCGAGTCGTTCTCTGACGGTCCCTGTGGCCCAGTGGCGGACCTCAGGAGGCCGACGAGAGCGAACAAGCCTCCGCCGTGGTCTTGTTTCACAGCGCGGGGATTTCGGGGCCACCCCCCTGCCCGGCGCACGCGCGCGCCGGGTTTCGGTCGCTCGCGAGCGCCCGTCGCTTGACGGCCCCACTTTGTTGGGCGGATGGGGTCGAAACGACAACGGCGGCTGCAGCGGAGTGGGTGGATGGGGCAGTTGGCGGCGTCTCGAGGGCAGCAGAGGGGGTGGGGGGAACCACGTAATACAAAATTGAAGGCGCACAAGCTTTCCGAGGTCCGCGCGGATCTCTCCGATCGGCACTGGACTCTCTGGCGGCGCCTCCGTCGCCGCCCCGGCCGCGCTCCGCGCGCCGGGGAGGGGTGTCCAGCGCCGATCCGAGAAATCCGCGCGGACTTCCGATTAGGAGAGAGGGGCAGCGAAATCCGCTGCGCGCAGCTCGTTTCGGCTGCGCCGCCATGTATGATGGGCAACTTTTCCACCACCACTACCATATGTAGGACGGGGGAGAAGTGAGGAGCCTTAGGCGGAGCTTCCAATGGTGCCACGAAACGTGTGAGGGTTGCGCCGAAGTGGGGTGGTGGAGGCATGCGAACGCAGCCACGGGGGCTTCAGGCGGATCTCCCTATGAGGCCACAAAGCGTGTGAGTGGTGCGCCAAAGTGTAGTGGCGGCGTAATGCGAGCGGAGCCACTGGAGCCTTAGGTGGAGGTCTCAATGTTGCCACGAAACGTGTGAGGGGTGCGCCAAAGTGCCCCCCACGGGGCCACGAACCGTGTGAGGGATGCGCCAAAGTGGGGTGGCGGCGGCATGCGAACGCAGCCATTCGGGCCTTAGGCGGAGGCTTCTTATGGGGCTACGAAGCGTGTGAGGGGTGCTCCAACGTGGGGTGGCGGCAGCATGCGAACATAGCCATTGGGGCCTCAGGCGGATCTCCCTATGGTGCCACGAAACGTGTGAGGGGTGCGCCGAAGTGTAGTTGCGGCGGCATGCGAACGCAGCCACTGGGACCTAAGGCGGAGCTCCATACTGGGCCGTGACAAGAGAGCGCCTTCTGTTTGACACGCAGGCGCAGCGTGGACCAGAGATGCCCCGTTCGGCGCGCGGAGCTTGGTACAATGTGACAGGGGGGTAGAGCTGTGCCAGCATGGGGGCGAGCAACCTCCAGCCGGCCGTTCGAAAACGGCGAATCGCGTGGAGCTTCCTCACCAAAAAGGTTCGAACCAGGTTCTAAGGCCGGTCCGAAACAATAGAAGTCGGTTCGAAGCAATAGAAAAGTGAGCGTTTCGTGCGGAACTTCATCGGAAATCAGGTTCGAAGCAGGTTCGAACTCGGTTCGAAGCATTGAGTGAGCGTTTCGTGCGGGACTTCCTCAAAAATAGGTTCGAACCAGGTTCGAATTCGGTTCGACACGGTATGAAAGGGGGCGTTTCGTGCGGGATTTCGTCGGCAAGCACGTTCGAACCAGGTTTGAATTCGGTTCTGATCCGTAGACAAGTAAGCGTTTTTTCGACGGACTTCTCCAAAAAACAGGTTCGAGCCAGGTTCGAACTCGTTTCGAAACAACAGTAACACAGGATGGTCTTGGGTTCGTCTGCACCTGGCGACATTCCATATCATCGTGGCCAAGAGTGCCGCAATGGCAAATATTGACCAAACTTTCGTCAAGCTCATGTATGGTGCCTCAAACGTGTGAGGGATGCGCCAAAGTGGGGTGGCGGCGGCATGAACATGCAACCACTGGGGCCTTAGGCGGAGATCCCTATAGTACCACTAAGTGTGTGAGGGGTGCGCCAAAGTGTGGTGACGGCGGCATGCGAACGCAGCCACTGGCGCCTTATGCGGAGCTCCCTATTGGGCCACGACGTGTGCGAGTGGTGCGCCAAAGTGTGGTGGCGACCGCATTCGAACGCAGCCTCTGGGTCTTCAGGTGGAGCTCCCTACGGGGCCACAGAACGCGTGTGGGGTGCTCCAACGTGGGGTGGCGGCAGCATGCGAACGCAGCCATTGGGGCCTCAGGCGGAGGTCCCTATAGTGCCACGAAACGTGTGAGGGGTGCGCCAAAGTGGGATGACGGCGGCATGCGACGAATCCTTTGGCGCCTTGGTCGGAGCTCCCTACGTGGCGACGCAGCGTGTGAGGGGTGCGCCAAAGTGGGGCGGCGGCGGCGGCATGCGAACGCAGCTACTGGGGCCTCAGGTGGAGCTCCTCACGGGGCCACGAAACGTGTGAGGGATGTGCCGAAGCATAGACATGCGGAGGGCAAAGGCAAGGGATGGGAGGAGGAGGGCGAGAAAGGAGGGAGAGAAGCCGCCCAGCGCCGCTGATTCAAAACGAGGACCCAGTTCAACACAGGATGGTTTGGACAAATGCACACTGGTGCACATGGCCGTGCCCTCACCCATGTCTCGGCTGCACCTTCCCTAGGAGGCCGTAGTAATGCATTGGTAGGGATGCACGTTGTCCCTAGTCGACCCCCTACATTTCCACATGCCTTTCCATTTTTGTTGCTGCTATTTGGGTGCTGGCTGGGCTGTGTTCTTTATCCCCTGGCGCGCAGCGGTCCTTACCCCCCACCCTCCCCCAGAGAGTAAAGATCGTACGTGGGGGGGGGGCCTGGAAACGCCCACACCACACTTTGGTGCTCGCCCGCGCGTAAGCTGCGGCGGTTGTAGCGCACCACCGCCCTAGTCGTGCTCCACCCCGACCAAGCGTTTTACCAGCACACAGGGCCCCCACCCCCCCTGCCGAGAGTAGCTACCGTTATGCCGCGGATGTAGGCCGCCCTGTCGGGCCTTTGGAGCACGCTGCCGGCTCTGAGTCGCCGTGGCTCTTGGCCAGATCCCAGCTTACTTTCGGAGGAGGGCGTCTAGGCCAGAGGCAGCTCATCGTCATCCACTGGTGCTAGGTGCGTGAGGTGAGCGTCGAGGGAATCACGGAGGGACATCGTCACTCCAATGCAGTCGCGTGAGGTCGTTTGGGGATCGCTCCCCCTCCCCCTCCTCCCTCCCTCCTCCTCCCCTCCTGCGTCAAGTGCACACCTTTCATCCCCCTGACCCTGTCCGTCCGGGAGATGCTCCGCCTTCGCCGCGTATTGTGCTACCCTGGCTTTCAAAGGTTGATGTTTCTGGTGTGATGTTCCAGTTCTGCCGTTGTCCGTGTTTCAAAATGCTGTTCCCACGGTGGCGGTGTCTTCATTTCACGATCGGCTCTTTACTCCGAGGCGGGAATTTATACATGACCACCGCCTGGAGTAGAATTTTCGGGGACCTCGGCAGGCGGTGGATATGGATACCTTCGGGCCCCCGGGGGGCCAAAATATGTCCATATCCACCGCCCGCTGGGGCACCAGGACGTCGGTTCCCAGGCCGTGGATATGGATAAATCCCCGCATCGCATCTTTACCCCCACCGCTCAGAACGGAGCTCCGCCCCCGGCGTGGGCCCGATCTCCGCATCGGAGGCTGCTCGTCGCTGTCGCCCCCCCTGTCCCCTCCTCCGCCTCCCCCTGGTCCTCCAGCTCCTCCCCCTCCCATCACGGCTCCTGCTGTTGCGACAGGTCCTCTTCCTCCGTGACCCTCACTTTGTCCTTTCCCCTGCTCATCCAGCACCTACTTCTTCTCCCCCTCCTCCTCCTCCTCCTCCTCCTCCTCCTCCTCCTCCTCCTCCACCTCTTTCCATGTACACAGCTCCCCTTCTGCGTGCGCATAGCGCGATGGGGCCAACTTGGCTGTTCCAGATCTGTTATCACACACGTCTGCGGATAGGGACTCGCTTGTGTGGCAGCTGCTTCTGCTGCGACGCTTGCGCACCTTGAGACAGCTGTTCATGTTGCGCACGCCTCCTCCCAGGTCACCCCCGCCTGTCCGAAGCAAACCATCCAACCGTACCCAGTCAGGTGCTGCCTTCACCGAAGGCTCTCAAGGGTTGAGATGGACGGCCTTTGCTGTGTGGCTCGCAACTGGAGCGACTAGCTGCTGAGACAAGAGCAAGTGACGGTGCAGACGGAGGGGGGCGGGAGAGGGGACGTAAAGGTTGGACAGCAGAGGGCCAGGGGACGATATGGTGACCACAGGTATACAGCGTCATTTGGGACAGCACACCGCACGCCATTCTCCAGGCCATGCCACCCTCAGGCCGAGGGTGGACCACCGAAGCCGCTACCTGGGAGCAGAGGTGTGTGACGTAATTTCTGACAGCACGGCGCGCGCTATCAGCAAGGCCGTGCCACTTGCAAGACGCAGGTGGACCTCTTGAAGCCACTCCCTCAAAATGAGAAACAACCGTAAAGCCAATATGCAACAGGAGGAAATCGTTCCGCAGTGGGGACGATGTATTCGACAACCGTATCTTGCCAGGTATCTGACCCGTCATTCAATTCAGAGCGCGTCTCTTGAAGCCTCGTACCGCTTCCGACACAGGTGTGCGGCGTCACATGGGAGGACGCAGCTCGCGCCATCCTCCAGGCCGTGCCACCCTCAAACCGATCCTCCTTCCGAGCTGGCAGCATGCGCGCTACGCGAGCCAGAGGGTTATCCCCCTCTGCGACTGGATTTCTTCGAGTGGCTGAGAGCCGACTCTTTTGCATATTCTTAGCGGCCCCAGTCAGGCTTCAGATGCACCCCAGGCGCCGATGTATAAGAAACAACTCCCCCCAGCGTTGACTTTTGCATGGGTGACACCCTCGGGCTGCCTCCCTCCTCCTCCCCGTGGGAGGGGGGGCTGCCAGACCGCACCCGTGGTCATCTTCGGTCTCCAAGGGGCCGCGGGCCCTGGGCTCGTCGTGCATCGACTTGAATCCGAGATGCAAGCAGCAGTCCCCAAGAAACGGTCGAGACATTCGAGCTTGTGTAACTGTCGGTCCCCGGGGGCCGCTGTCGGTCCCTGGGCTCATCGTACATCGATCGGACGCGCAGGCGAGCAGTCGCCGAGAAGGTGCCGGGAGCTTCCAAACTAGGACATCAGGGGTCGAGGGAACATGACAGGTCCTTCTTGCCTACCCCTCCTCTCTTGCTTGTGCCCTCTCCTTATCCGAGGCGGCGGCGAACGAACCCGTCGACCTGAAGACCCGCGCCTAGCCGCGGCGACGACGCGCAAGAGGAGGGGGGAGAGGAGGAGGAGGAGGAGGAGGAGGAGGAGGAGGAGGAGGAGGAGGAGGAGGCTCAGGAGACGGGTGAGGACGAGGAGGAGGCGGAGGAGGAGGGCAGGAACATCATCAGGAGGAACAGCAGGAGCAGCAGCAGCAGGAGGAGGAGGAGGAGGAGGAGGAGGAGGAGGAGAAAAACAGGCGGCAGGGAGACAAGCGCAGCTCAGGGAGGAGGACGGAGGACGGAGGATTAGGAGGATGAGAAGCTTCTACTCCTCAGAATGAGGAGCAGCAGCAAGAAAAGGGACAGAATTTGGAAGAGGAGGAGCAGCAGGAAGATATGTAGAAATGTGTAAGGGGGGGCTCAGGAAGAGGAGGATGAGGAGGGGAGAGGAACATACATGAGGATGATGAGGGGGAGGAGAATGAGGAGGAAGGGAAGCATGGCGAGAAGCGGGGGGAGGCTTGGGCAGGATTGGTGGAGAGGAGGAAAAAGAGCACGAGGAGGCGAAAAAGGAGTCCGAGGAGCAGAGGGGGGTTCGGCCCGCCTTTGGCCAGGGTGCCGGGGGCTCGCAAGCGTGCCCCGCTCGCAGAAGTCGGCGTCTTGACGGAGCCTGCGTCTGCTCAACGTCAGGGCAGCGGAAGATGGCGGGGACAAGGAGAAGAAGCAGCAGGGACGACACATGATGACAAGGCCGGCATGTTTACGAGGATTCAGCCACGCGCAGAGGGGGGTGGGGGGAGGGGGGAGGGCTTCTTAGAAGCAGCCTCTTTCTAAGAAGCCCTCCCCCCCTCCCCCCACCCCCTTGTGTGCGCGCCGCCAAAGGATGGTGAAGGCGACAGGCCATGGGAGGGCGACCAGGATAGCAGGACGACGAGAGTGGCAGGGTGCGAGGGGCGGCAGCAGCAGCAGGGTGCGGGAGGGGCAGGACTGGCAGGCCGAGGCTGCAGCGACACCGAGCACGCGGGAGCAGCGGCAGGGCGAGGAGGCAGATGGAGGAGCGGGAGCAGGAGTGGAAGGAGAAACAACGGCACAAACGGACACTTCTTGGCTCTCCGCGCGGAAATCTTGGATCCGCGCTGGGGCCCCCCCAGCGGCGCCTCCGGCGCCGCCCCTGGCGCACTCCGCGCGCCGGGAGGGGGGGGGTCCAGCGCAGAACCAAGAAATCCGCGCGGAGCGCCAAAAGTTTTATGTTTATGCCTTTTCTCCGTCGTCTAAGAAGGAGGACGGGGAGGACCAGGAGGAGCGCAGGGAGGAGGGCCAGCGTGAGGAGGGGGAGAAGTGTAGAGTCCTCACGGCAAAATAATGAGGAGCCGTTCTGGCTCGGCAGGGGGAATCGTTGTTCCGCAGGGCTTTTCCATGCTTGTTCCTCGCGTGCTCCTTCGTGTGCACCCGGGGGCTGTTTGGGACCCCGGAGCGGCTGCGTTCCGAACGTAGCGTTCTTGATAGTAGCAGCGTGACAGTACGACGAGCAGGATCAGGCCTGCGGGCAGACTGGGGAGGAGGTGGAGAGAAGGGGGAGCGAGAGAAGGTGGAGGGGGGAGGATGTGGGCAACGGGTGCCCGAGCTTGTAAGGATAGCATGAGCTGGTATATGGCGGTTGTGTTGCCTGGGCAGTGTCGATCTGGTCGCTATTCTGGGTCCCAGTTGGCCAAGGACGTCAAGCTAATCTAGCCGGCAGCAGTACAGATCAGTAACGACTAAGGACGAACATCAGCAGTCTCATCAAGAAGGCGAGCCGCGCGGGGAGAGGGACGGTGGAGGAGGTGAGAGGTGGATGAGGTGGAGGTGGCGATGGAGGGGATGATTGAGAGTGGAGGGGGATGGGGTGGGGACGGCCTCCCTCGTATTCTTCATTTTCATGTTCTTGCACCTCTGCTTTCCCCTCCGCCTCCTCCTCCACATGCTTCGTCGTTCTCCTCTTCTTGATCCTCCTGATGCCCCCCCCTCGCCTCCCTCTCCCTTCTCGTAATTGTCTTCCCCTTCCCCCCACATTTCCCTTTCTGCGCTCATCATGCTCCTCCTCGTCTGCTGTCGACTTCCCCTCTCCCATCTATACCAGCGCCCGGTGGCGGTCGTTCTGAAGTTCGGCCGCCATGCAGGACTTCTGGACGACGTTTTCGCAGTGCTGGCGGCAGGGCTCTTCTCCCGCACTGGACCCGCCCTTCTCGTCGCTGATGGGCAATAAGCATCAGGGTCTTTAGGCTGGCTGCACTGCCACTGCATCTCCTGCCGCTGCCCGCCGGGATCCTCTGCTCAGCGGGGGTGTCGGGCGCTGCGTCATGTGGGGGCGATAAGTGGGGGGGAGGGGAGGAGATCATCGAGCAGAAACAAACCCCCAACCCTAGAAATACAATGAAGACGCGGCATCACTGAGGTCCCCGCCTTCGCATTAGGGATAATCGATCCGGGCCGTATGTTCCGATACCTCTGCAGAAGAACAAACCCTATCCCTAATGTGTTTTGGCCCTCCTACCTTGTGTCCCCTCCAAAGGGTTAGGGGGTTGCTTTTGGTTACTAATAGGGGCGTCACCCCCGCCGACAGCCCCACATCGAACCCTGTCGCTGGCAGCCACCGCGCGCCGAAGGCCCTCCGACCCCAGTCGCGGTGCGACCACGAGGCGAGGCTGACCCCCGTCGGGGGGGTACCCCCCTCACGCTGAAGCATCCAGAAGCACAGAGCAGTCGGGAGGGGTGCACTGCAAGTGGCCCCCGCGCGGCTCGACGTGGGCACGAGAGCTCCTCCTCCTCCTCCTCCTCCTCCTCCTCCTCCTCCTCCTCCTCTTCCTCCTCCTCCCCGTAGCCATTTTGGCTCAAGATGACGACCTGGGGGGCTGTCCAGCCTCCAGGCCGAAGGGAGACCTCTGGACCGAGGACAGTTCCCAGACGGGCGTCGGGCGCGCGCGCGGCATCGCAGCAGCCATGGGGAATGGCGGCAGCGGACGCGGGGCAGCGCCTGGTCGGGGACCCCGAATCGCCAGAGGGTGCCCCCGTGGAAGAGGAGCAGCAGTGGCAGTCGCCCTCCTCGCAGCAGCTACGTGGTGTGCGACGGGTGCAGCAGATGGCGCCACTGCAAGAACATCACCAGCAGGGGCGACCTCTGCATCTGCGGCAAGAACATCGCCAGCCTCGTTCCCGACGGTCATGTCTTCCGTGAAGACGATGGCGGGTGGCTGGCAGCACAGCCCCAAGGAGGAACCTCGCCCAGGATCAGCTGGGCAGATGGTTGGCAGCCAGGTGGTGGTGCAGGCGGGAAAGGACAAGGAGGCCAACGCCAGCCACCACCTCACGACAAGACAGCCGACCTCAAGGCTGCTGCCGCAGCAGCATACAGCAAGCTCAACAAGGACGACCCGCTCAGGCAGCACTACGAGGCCCTCTGGCCAGAGCTCGCCGCAGCCAACCAAGCCACCAGCAGACCAACCAGTCGCTGGATTCAAGGCAGTGGAGGCAGCTGCTCGACGCTTGGACAAACTCCAGAAGAAAGTGCGATCGGCAGGAGAGCAAGTCGAGAGTGCCCAGCAGTACTTGGCCGAGAGTGAACGCAAGCTTCGTGAAGCCATGGAAGCCCCCATTGCAGCCGAAGATGAGTTCGACAAGCTCAAGGCCACAGTCGGCAAGCAAGAGACACCAGCAGAGCCTGCAGCCGAGAAGCCAACTCTGGCAGCCCTCCTGGAGCAGTTCGAGCACGAGCCTGACGACTTCCACAAGTGGTCCGAGCCAGACAAGGAGGTCTGGCGGGCAGCAAAGGCCAAGGGCGAGCGGATGGCCCAGACGGTCAAGGAGCACGAGGAGGAGACGGCGAAGCACCTGCGACTGCTGGAGGGAGACGGCCAGGCACCAGGAGCAGCTGCGCCAGCTCGAGCAGGCCCGCACCAAGCGCCTGTCAAAGGGCGAAGAGCAAGACCCAGCAGCAGCAGAAGCCCCACCAGGCAAGCGAGTCTGCGCCGCCAGCCCAGCCCCTCAGCGAGGTGCCACCGCATGCACTGAGGCAGCAGGGACAGCTGGAGCGGCTGTGCCCACCGGCGCCGCAGCAGCTGCCCAACCTGGAGCAGGTGCAGCAGAACATGACAAAGCAGAAGAACGCCGAGCCAGAGTGGAGGCCCACATCCAGGAGGCGCGAGAGAAGGTCTCGCAGGCAAGGCGCGCCGAGACAGTCGCCGACGCAGAAGGGCAGGGCGACCACTCGGCAGGGTAGCCGCCCCAAGGCGAGCGTGAAGAAGGCTCGCCGCCCGTGCCACATTGACTTCTTCAACGTCACGACCTGGGCCCCCCAGGCACAGGGCTACCTCATGGAGATCAATAACACCAGGGGCAGGGATATCATTGGCATCGCGGAGCACCACCTCCGCCAGCCTGCACAGATAAGCAAGGCAAGAGCGGCGCTCAGGAGGAATGGCATGCACGGCTACTGATCCAAGGCACGGCCAGGAGAAGGAGATGGCACTCGAGGAGGCACGCGTGCCATCACGCGAGGACCCTTGGACATCCAGGACAGGATTGCGGGATTCGACGAGCACTACCTGCGCGAGGACGGCAGTGACGTCACGGTGGCGATCTCCAACCTGCACAAGGTCCGTTTCGCAGTGGCTTTCGTCTACCTTGAGTGTGGGACGGGCTTTGGAGAGAGGAATGTCGACATCCTCTGCGACCTGCGGGAGAAGATGGCCGTCTGGGGAGGGCCCTGGGCAGCGCTGGGGGACTTCAACATGACGCCGTCGGAGCTCAACAACAGTATTTGGCCCAGGGTGCTGAATGCTCAGGTAGCTGCGGCGGAGGATGGTGCCCCCACATGTTTCCCAGCAGCAGGCGAGGCCAGGTGCATCGACTTCGCGCTGATCTCGCAGGGCCTGGCTCCGTACTTCGACCAGCTGGAGCTGCCCAGGACCGCGCCGTGGAAGCCGCGCATCGGCATCCGCTTGAAGCTGAAGGGGCGGCCCCCCATGCTCAAGGGCAGGTACTTCGCAGGCCAGCAGCGATTAAGCCGCCAGTCGCAGTCGAGAAAATGCCGAAGTGCAGAGCCGCCTGCAGACGAGCGGCGCGAGGGGGCCAGGAGGCCATGCGCCGACGACAGCAAGCGCTGGCAGAGGCAGGCGACCTGGACGAGAACGGCATGGAGCCAGTGCCGCAGCTGCACTACGACAAGGAGGTCCAGCACGTCATCTCTGACGAGCTGTGGCAGGCCACCTCCGAGCGAGTCAGCGTGCGCGCCAACGACGAGCTGCCCCAGCATTTGCAGCACGCAGTCGTCGGCAAGATGATGGAGCGGGACATGCTGGATATAGGGCAACAGTATGACCGCTTCGCAAGCACCCTCGAGCTCAGCCTGTGCGAGAGCATCGGCATCCCAGAGGAAGAGCGAGGACGACATCTCGGGCACAGCAGGCCCCCGAGCTACAAGAGCGCGAGCATCAAGGACACCGTCACCTCTACGCCATGGGCAGGGGTCGAAAGGAAGATCCATGCGTGGTGGGCGGAGATCTCCACCCTGGTGCGGCAGCTCTCGCACCACGATGCCCGAGCGCAGGAGGCAGCAGCAAGCCGACTGGGCAAGACCCTGACAATCCCCGACGAATACTCAGGAGGCGAACAGGGCCCGTCGGCGCCTGAGCCTGGCCCCGTCATGTCAGACAGCCAGGTAGGCCATGAAGACGGGGTCCCCGCACCAGCTATGAGGCCATCGAAGAGCTCGGGGGGAAGCTCGGTGGATCGCGGCCCCACCGAGCGGGGCGAGGGCCCCCCCGAGCTGCAGCAGCGGCGCGCTGGCAGTGGAGGCGCAGCAGGAGGCGGCGGCCGCGGTTCCAAGGACATCGTGAATCAGCCAGCACCTGAGGAGGTCCCCCCACCTCAGGCCGAGGCGGGCGCAGCGGACCAACGGAAGGCAGCTGGTCCCTGCCCAGAGATGGGTCAGGGGTTCTCGTGCCCCAAGTACAACGCCACGGGATGTGTCCCAGACCTCGACGTGGGACCATACCGCAGCAGCGCAGACAGCTGCACAGAAGGGATGCAGAGGGGCGCCCTTCCCCCACCAGCAGCACGCAACACCGTGGACGAGGAGGACTGCGTGGAGTACTGCCAGGAGATCGCAGACCAGGAGTTCAGCGATGGGTACCACCAGCACACCGAGGGGCAGCAGGACAGCCTCGAGTTCGGCCAGACCTTTCGCCGACGTGCAGCTGGAGCTGCCACTCCCCCACCAGCAGGACGCAACACCATGGACGTCCAAGACTGCGGCCCCTTCGAGGAGGAGGAGGACTGCCCACAGTATCGCCGGGAGACCGCAGACCAGGAGGACTGCGACGGGCACCGCCAGCGCATTGAGGGGCAGCAGGACAGCAGCGACTACGGCCAGTCCGCTCGTCGGCACCCAGCTGGATCAGGCAATGCTGCCCCAGAGGACACGCACTGCTCACCTCCTCAGCCAGCTGGCACTCTGGAGGCAGAGGGTGCCGATCACCTGGGGAGTCAGAACCAAGAGCCGCCAGGCCCAGAGGCATAGGAGCCACGCGATATGGGCCTGTCCCCACCAGACCGCTGGAATGAAGACCAGCACCAGCGGGGGTGGGAAGACTACGTGGCCATGAGAGACGACTTAGGGTACTGGGCGGCCATCTGGATGGATAACTTGGTGCAGCTCCCCACGGACAACAGCAACTGGATGCAGGTCTGCGTGCCGTTCCTGGAGACCATTTTGGGTGGCGGAGGCAACGATGGAATGGTAAGATTGCTCAGGCGCAGGTACCAGCAGGCAGGCCTCAGCCACACCATCAGGGACCTCTGCGAGCGAGCATGGAGACACGCAGAACCACGACGCCGAGGCTTTCTCCGAGGTCTCACGCGAGAGGAGCCGACGAGTAGGCACGACTTGGAGATGATGCATTGGAGGGGGCTTGCTAACCTGCGGGGGTTTATGCGAGAAGTCATAGGCGAACGAGTACCAGAAGGAGCAGCTCGACGACAACTACATGATGCCCCAGGAGCAGGCAGTGGCCTGAGTAGCCGCCGAGAGCTGCAGGTCCGCACCCACAGCGGCCACCAGACGCAGCAGCATATTAACACAAGATGGCAGCTCGCGCAGCAGCTCAACCAGCTTGACCCAGGCAGGCTGAACGAAGAAGGCGCAGCCAAGGACCAGCAGCAGGCCCTCCTCACAGACCTGCACGCGATTGCAGAGGGCGCCCTCGTGGACCCAGGGGCGATCAGCAGGGTAGCAGAGGAGGTGAAGAACATGGCCAAGCAGCTCACAAAGGCGGTGAAGAAGGCGTACATCCACTGGGTGCACGATGCCACTGCAGGCAGTGCTAAGATGGCCCACGCCTACACCAAGGCAGTGGAGCGCAGCCACCTGGAGGACATCCTAGAGCATGAGGGCCAGGTCATCAACCACCCGCAGCAGCTGGAGGACTTGCGCAAAGAGGCATGGCAACGCAGGTGGACACGAGATGCGCAGAAGGCCGAGAGGATCCAAGAGGCGTTGGCCAAGCTGAGGCAGGCGGCCTTGGCCCAAGAGAATGCCCTCGAGCCCATCAGCAAGGACATCATCGGCCCCATCATCCAGCACCTGAAGCGCAATGCTGGCCAAGGAGCGGACTGGTGGAGGGCTCCAGAGCTCAAGGCCATGGGCGCCCAGGGGCTTGAAGACTTCGTGCAGTGCCTGATCAGCTGTGAGCAACGGGCAGCGTGGCCGTGGCAATTCTACTTGGTGCTGGAGCTGCTGCTGGGCAAGAAGCCAGGGATCGGCGGTGAGCGCCCCATCGGCCTCATGCCCATGCCGTACCGCATCTGGGGCGCAGCCAGTAGGCCCACAGTAGCCACCTGGAGCATGGCAGCGGCGGGCTTCTGGGACACGGCAGTAGCAGGCTCCTCAGCGCTACGGGTGGCACTGCACAGACTGATGAGGGCAGAAGCCGCCACGGAGATGGGCTTTCATGCAGCAGGGGTCTTCTACGACGCGGCAAACTTCTACGACGACATAGGCCTCGGCCAGCTGATTGAGAAAGCCAGCGGCCTCCAGTGCCCGTTGCTGCCGCTGGCAATGGCCGTGCAGATGTACCTTGCGCCCAGGGCCATCATGGCCCACAGCCTCTTCTCGGACATCTTCGAGCCTGCCAACAGCATGGTAGCTGGCTGTGGCCAAGCGGTCGACCTCACCAGACCGCTCTTGTATGGCATCCTGGATGCAGCGCACAGGCGCTACATCTTCGTCGTCATGCAGCAGTGCCTGGACGATTTGGCCCTGCAGGTAGAGGGTGCGCGGAGGCAGGTCATAGACCAGATCAAGTACGTGGCAGCGCTGGTGCACGATGGTTTCAAGCAGCTCTCCATACCCATCTCCGTCAAGACGGCAGCGGTGGCCTCGGACAAGGACCTCCAGGCAGAAGTCGCCAGCATCCTGGACAGCCTGGGCACCCCCAACAAGCAACCAGGTGTAGTGCGCGACCTCGGCGTGGACACCAGCCTAGGCAAGCAGCTACGGCGACCCACCCATGCAGCGCGCCAGGCCACGGCCAAGCAGAGGGTGGCCAAGCTTAAGGACCTAGCGAGGACGGACGCCAGAGGTGCGGCAAAGGTCTACTCAGCAGGGGCCGATTGCCTGCCAGCGCACGGCATCACGCCCACGGAGGCGAGGGCGGTCAGGGCCACGGAGGCAGCGCTCCTCACAGGCGGACATAAGGCCGGGCGCTGCACGTCCACCATCCTCCTGATTCAGAAGGGAATGCAAGAGGCAGTAACACGAGCCATCGGCGACCAGGTCAAGCAGTTCTGGCTCACCATAGTCGACCACCCGACGGAGCTCAAGGGGTACCAGAGAGGCTGGCTCCTGCTCTACGCCAAGCTGGACGCCCTGGAACCCAACCGCAGGTGGCAGCAGGTCAAGGGGCCTATGGCAGGGGTCATCGCGCAGCTGCTTGGGTTAGGCTGGATACCGCGACGCCTGGACAGCTGGATCAGCCCAGCAGGTGAAGAGTGGGCATACAAGCCAGATGACACTACACACTTCGGCGCGCTCCTGCATGAGGTCCAGCAGAGCGCGCAGCAGCAGCTCTGGCAGCAGGCAGCATGCCATCGCAGTGGAGAAGGACTTCAGGCAGGAGGCGACCTCTTCCAGCTGCAGCGCCACCTGAGGAGGAGGAGGAGGCGCAAAGGACAGCATGCAGAGGCGGCCATGCTGGAGACTATAGCGGTGGCGGGCATCTGGACCAGGGAGCGTCGCAGGGCGGCCAATCTAAACAAAGAAGGCGACGACACCTGCGCGAGATGCGGCGAGGCGATAGAGACAGAGGAACACCGCTACTACGCATGCCCAGCCAACGCAGAGATAGGGCACAGCAATGAAACCGACCTGGCGAAGAAGGCGAAAGACGCGCTGGACCAGAGGCAAGACCTGCATTTCTGGCTTCGCGACATCCCGCCAGCTGCCTGGGCAGCCAAGGTCGACCCGGACGAGGACGCGGCGAAGGCGGGGCAGTTTTTGCACCAGCGAAGAGGCGCAGGCGGCAGCCCTGGCAGGGTACAAGGTTCGAGCAGACTACGTCTTCACGGACGGCTCAGGCGGTGCAGGGGAAACGGCAAAGGATCCCCGCCTCAGACGCTGCGGCTGGGCAGTGGCGGCATTCAGGTCCGACGAGCAAGGACGTCCGCAGGAAGTGGCCGCCTGGTACGGCACGATCAGGGCACCACACACGGTGCCACGGGCAGAGCCCACCGCCATGAGCAAAGCCATCGGGTACACCACGGCGGCGACGGCCAGGGGGCTCAACATAGTCAGCGACTGCAAGTACGCCCTGGACGCACTCAATCAGATCCAGGATCCTGAGGGCCTGGACTACAGGAGCACGAACTACGACCTCTGGCTCCAGACGAAGCAGCAGCTGCAGAACAGCACGGACACCATCATGGGCCACCACATCCCAAGCCACCTAATTGAGCACCCAGCCGAGCTGGAGAGGTGGAATGGTCCCACTTGGTGGGTCATCGGAAACGAGATGGCAGACAAGTGCGCAGGCTGGGGAGCGGAGTATGGAGCACTGGATCCAGCCATCATCGCGCAGCAGCAGACCAGGGACCAGATCACCATGGCGGTGCAAAATCGGCTGCGGGCCATCAACGTGGCGGCGACGGTGGAGGACCCCAACAAGGCCCCTCAGCGTCCCAAGGCCAAGCGCCGAAAGCCGCAGGCGGCAAGGGACAGGGCAGCCCAACTGGGACACGACTTGCGCAAGCTACATCCGCGATGGTGGTGTGCAACGTGTCGCAGCGGCCCAGCCAAAGGACAAAGCATCAAAGACTGGCTGGCAGAGACGGGAGAATGCCTCGGGAAGTACGGTGGCCACCAGGACCAGCACGGCAACGTCAGGCTTGACTTCAAGGCGGTGCAGATCGGCACGCAGGTGGTGGACGTCTCCCACAAGACGCAGTTCACCCATGGCTGGCTCTGGTGCGAGAAATGTGGCGGCACCAGCTACCTTGGGGACCACAAGAGCAGGATCGTGACAGGAGTGGCAAGGAAGCTGGCCAGGCCATGTCAGCCCCCAACAGCAGCAGGGAGGCGGGTCCTGGCGGACACGCAGAGGGGCAAGCTGCCAAGAGGAGCTAAGCCAGCAGCATACCCAGATGAGGAGGGTCTCAACGAGATCACCATGCCTGGTGACTTCAAGCTTGGCCTGAGCAACCACGAGGTGATCGACCTGGACGGAGACAGCTCAGAGGCAGGGGACCCGCAGCGAGTTCCACAGCAGCCACCCAGCCACCCGCACTCTGTCGTCCAAGCCAGCTGGAGGCTCGTTGACCACATGGAGGGCTACGCGGAGCTGTGGATGAACATGGTCGACCAGGAGGTCTGGGACGACATGGGCGACTGGATGGATCACTGCGTGCCGTACCTCCTGGCCATCACCAACGTGGGCGGCAGAATGGACTCGCAAGGGCAGACCAGGGCTGTCACCGTGCAGGAGCTGCAGCAGATCAAGGGCTTATGCGAAGAAGTCTGGCGCAACACGCACCGCAAGCGACGGAGGCTCATGGCCAGGATGCTTACCCTCCTGTACGGTACAAGGCAGCAGGTAGCAAGAGTGCACATGGACGCGTTCCAGAACAGAAGGAACAACATCCTAGCGCACAGCATCCCCAGCAGCGAGCGCAGGCCGCTGCCGAGCACAGCGGAGGCCAGCAGAGAGTGGTCACCAGAAAACCTGGACGATGATGACTCGACACCAGACAGTGAAGCCCCAGAGCAGGGGGGCGAGCCGAGCGACCAGGAGATGGAGACCATGGCAGGACCTGATCAGAGGAGCGACACCAACAGCCTGATGCAGACGGTCGTGCAGGTGGCAGCAAAGCTGGCCAAACCAGTGGGGCCCGACCTGATGAAGTACGTGAGCGAAGCCGATGAAGCTGGCCTGCTCCACCCAAGGCTTCGACACAAAAGAGACGCCGACCAGGGCCCCGAGCGGGAGGTGGCGTGGCTCGAGAGGAACAGGCTCGAGCAGCACATGCAGTCGCTGGCAGGCTGCTGGATCCAGAAAGAGGGCAAACATGGCTGGCCATCGTGGCAGGCTGCGAGTGTGCCCCATGTGCTGAGGGAGTTGCAGACTGGCGTCTACCAGAGGCTGTTCAGCCACGTGTCAGGGCTGAGCCGCCAGCGCAGCCAGCGCCGAGCGGCGGAGGAGATCTGCCGCATGGCATGGCTCAACAGTGGAGAGGCGCGCAGGCAGAGCCAGCAGCAGGACCCGAAGGAGACAGAGCGGCGCAAAGCAATTGCTGAGCAGTTCCTGGGTGTGACTGAGACAGTGATGAGGAGCCGCAGCCCGCGACCGCAAGCAGCTGTGCGAGAGCCAAGCAGGGCCCCAGCCAGACAGCCGAGGAGGCACCCAGAGGCCAGGGCCACCCGCAGCCCCGCCGAGCTGCGCACGGCAACAACAGCGCCCGAGCCCGAGAGGCCCAAGGAACCCAGGGCACCGCAGCCAGAGCGGTCACTTGAGGCGGGAAGGGCTGAGGAGCAGCAGAAACCCGTCAGCAGGCCCCAGTGTGGAGCAGGGACAGGCCGCCACGAACCTCTGCGCGGCGAGGGGGTAGGCCGCAGAGGACCCCAGCGCGGCGAGGGGTTAGGCCACAGCCCTGCGCCAGACGGGATGCAGAGGGGTGCCCGTCCCCCACCAGCAGGACGGAGCTTCATGGACAGGGCAGCCCCCGACCACTTCCATGAAGAGGAGAGCAGTGAGGATTGCCTCCAGCAGCCCGTAGACAAGCAGGACACCGATGACAACCACCAGCAGAACCCAGATGTACAGCACAGCATAGGGTACCGCCTGGCAGACCGCGGAGGACCCCAGCGTGGCGAGGGGTTAGGCCACGGAGGACCCCAGCGCGGTGAGGGGTTAGACCGCAGTGCCAAAGGCAGACAGAGGCACGAGGCGGAGGTCCCTGACGAGCCCAGTGAGCATGACGCGGATCTCTTGATCAACAGCGTGGTAGACAGGACCTCGCAACTAACAGAGCGGACCCATACCTTGGGAAACCGGCAGACTGAACGCGAGGGGGAGGGCTTAGCCCGCGGATACCACGTGAACCGCGAATACAGCGAGAGGCACAGTCGGGGGACCTCGCCCGAGCCAGTGGGCAGCAGCACCGAGGATGGTGATGGTGCGAGACACGACGTTCCCCTGCGCGGCGAGGGGGTAGGCCGCAAAACTACGCAGCCCGAAACGACGGCAGACTACGACGGCACAGACCTGCAGCGGGACCAGGGCAAGGATTTCGGCGACTTCCCCCAGCGCGGTGAGGGGTTAGACCGCATGGAGCCCCTGCGCGGCGAGGGGCTAGGCCACGGCAGTCCCCTGCGCGGTGAGGGGGTAGACCGCAATGCCAAAGGCAAACAGAGGCTCGAGGTGGAGATCCCTGACGAGCACAGCGAGCATGACGCGGATCTTTTGACCAACAGTGTGGTAGACAGGACCTCGCAACTAACAGAGCGGACCCACACCCTGGGAAACCGGCAGACTGAACGCGAGGGGGAGGGCTTGGCCCGCGGATGCCACGTGAACCGCGAACACATAGAGTGGCATAGTCAAGGGACCTTGCCCGTGACAGTGGGCAGCAGCACTGTGGATGGGGACAGTGTGAGACTCGGCGATCCCCCGCGTGGTGAGGGGTTAGACCGCAGCAGGCCCCAGCGCGGCGAGGGGTTAGGCCACGGAGCACCCCGGCGCGGCGAGGGGTTCGACCGCAACGATCCCCAGCGCGGCGAGGGGTCAGGCCACGGAGCGCCCCAGCGCGGTGAGGGGTTAGACCGCAGCAGGCCCCTGCGTGGCGAGGGGTTAGGCCACGTGGGACCCCAGCGAGGTGAGGGGCTAGACCGCAATAGGCCCCTGCGCGGCGAGGGGTTAGGCCACGGAGCACCCCAGCGCGGTGAGGGGTTAGACCGCAGCAGCCCCCAGCGTGGCGAGGGGTTAGGCCACGTTTTTCCCCAGCGCGGTGAGGGGTTAGACCGCACCGAACCCCAGTGTGGCGAGGGGTCAGGCCACGACGGACCCCAGCGCGGTGAGGGGTTAGACCGCAACAGACCCCTGCGTGGCGAGGGGTTAGGCCACCACGGAGCACCCCAGCGCGGTGAGGGGCCAGACCGCAGCAGGCCCCAGCGCGGCGAGGGGTTAGGCCGCAGAGGGCCCCTGCGCGGCGAGGGGTTAGGCCGCAATGCACCCCAGCGTGGCGAGGGGTTAGGCCACAGCCCTGCGCCAGGCAAGGCGGCCGTGAAGGCCCAAGAGTCCAGGGACCAGCGGCCAGGGCGGTCCCTGGAAGAGCGCAGAGCGGAGGAGCGGCTGCGGCCGTCCATCAGGCTGCTCCTCAAGCTCTGAGAGGGCGGCGGCAGCATTTCTTCAGACTGCCGCCGCTCACGGGGCGACTCCATGAGTCACTGAGTGGCGGCAGTACGACGCCGTGAGATGAGGCCGCTGGCCCACCCCGCCTCGGGCCGTTCTGCCTGCGCGGGGTGCCGAGACCAGGGGCACCCACTCACGGGCGGGAGCACGCGGGTTAAAAACAACTCCTCCTCCTCCTCCTCCTCCTCCTCCTCCTCCTCCTCCTCCTCCTCCTCCTCCTCCTCCTCCTCCTCCTCGTGCACGCTCCTGCCCCCCCGCCTTCATCGCTCCCCCGCCGAGCAGCGCCCGAGGGTCGGCGCCCTTAAGGGCCCCGCGCGGACGTCTGCTGCCACGCCCCCTGCCGGGCCGCCCCCTGTGCGGCGGGGCCCTCGTGCAGCACGCGGGTGCTGCGCGCTGAGCACCACGTGCGCGCAGGGCCTCCCAAAGCACACGTACAGTGCAGTCGGGGCGTTGACCTAAGGAACGATAGATAAGGAACGAGGCCCCTTTTGCCCATATAGTAAACTCCGATTTTCCATGGAAAACCTCAGGAAAACCCAAGGAGCACTGTAAAGCAACTAAGGAACACGGAGCCCCTCCCCAACAAAAAGGGTTCCTTCTTCAGGGCCCCGACTGTATCGGCGGCGAGCGAGGGGGGGGCGGCGAGCGAGGGGGGAAAGTGAGAAGGAGAAGGGCTTCTCAGAAGGTTCCGAAGTCCCCCAGCCTTCCGAGAAGTGCTCTCAGCTTTCCCCGAGGAGGAACCAGTTTCTCAGAAGGCGCGGGGGCTTCGGAGATGTCCCGCCGCCTTCTGAGAAGGCATTCTCCTTTTCATGTCCCCCGTCGCTCGCCGCCGAATGCAGCCTCGTCACCACGCCAAGGTCCACCCTCACCAGAATCACGGCCAGGCCCAGCAGGCCGAAGCCGGACCCCCTGGGGGCCGAGATCGCAAAACGGGTCTGGCGCGCCGTCGTGGTTTCCCCTGTGGCGTCCGAAGGCCCTCAAGGTCATGCTGCGGGGGGTTCCTGGCCATTGTGCTGATGCTGAGCTGCGCTGTCAATGCCTCGCTGTCCTGGGTCTTTGCGTCGCTCTTGCTCGCTGGAGCATTTGGCACGTAGGTGGAGCTGCACTGTCAGTGCCACGCTTTCCTGTGGCTTTGCGGTGCTTCTGTTTTGAACGCATACCGCTTGATGCGGCGGATAGTGTGAGCGATCCAACCAACAAAACTCGGCGGCGATCCCGGGGGGGCTAGTGAGAAGGTGTGTGCATTCTCACAAGGCTCGGACGTCCCCCGGCCTTCTGAGAAGTTTTCTAAGCCTTCCCCGAAGGCGCAGAACACCTCTCGGAAGGCCTTCGAGAAGCCCCGCCGCCTCCTGAGAAGGCCTTCTCCTTCTCACTTCCCCCCCTCGCTCGCCGCCGACTTTGGTTCTCGCGTCATGACTCGGGTGTCCGGCTGGCGTTCGTGACGCTCTGGGCACCCCCGGAACGCCCTCGGCGAGGCGCAGCCGCTGGAACGCATCCCGAGGGCGGCAATCCGCCAAGAAGCTACGAAAACGCGCCCGAAAACTTAGAACCTCGAAGTTCCCCCCCCCCACACCACCCACCAAACCACCCCAACCCAACCCGAAGGTCCAAATCTATCCTCGATTTCCAGTGGGGGGGGTCGGGGATCATTGAAAAAACACATGGAACCCGTACCCCCCCCCCAACCCGAAATTCGGGTCAAATTCTGGTTTTCGGGTTGGGTTGGGGTGGTCCGTAGTCACCCCCTCGCACGCTGCCGAAACTGCCGCCGCTCCTCCGCCCCGGCAGGTCAGCATGACGCTCTCGGCTGGCGCGGCACCGGGAGCGCAGGCGGACCCCGGGCCGTCGTCGTGCCAGCCGCTGGGGAGGTGGGCATGGAGGAGGAGCAGGAGGAGGAGGAGGAGGAGGAGGAGGAGGAGGAGGAGGAGGAGGAGGAGGGGGAGGAGGAGGAGAACGAGGGAGGACGAGGAATAGGAGGAGGAGGAGGAGGGAGGAGGAGGAGGAGGAGGAGGAGGAGGAGGAGGACGAGGAGGACGAGGAAGACGAGGAGGACGGAGGAGGAGGAGGAGGAGGAGGAGGAGGAGGAGGAGGAGGAGGAGGAGGAGGAGGAGGAGGAGGAGGGAGAGGAGGAGGAGGAGGAGGAGGAGGAGGAGGAGGACCGCACCCACTTGCGCGGCGGGCCGTCTGTCTCGGCGCGCCGCCCGAGCGCCCGCGCGGCGCGACGACCCCCGCCGCGCCGCCGCGGGCGCAGCACGCCCTCGTGGCACGGCGCCGTCCGCCGCCGCCGCGCGGGCGAGCACGGGCCTACGGCCGTAGCCGCCAGCCCCCCGCGGCGCACGCGCGGCACGGCGCAGGCCGCCGCCGCGCTGCGCCTGTGGCCGCGCGCCGCCCAGCGCCCTCCCGCCGCCGCCCAGCTGGCCGAACGGCCGCAGCAGTGCCCTGGCTGGGCGGCACGCCGCCCTCGATCCTCATGCCGTCATCGGCACCTCCTCCGCTGGGGCCGCCTCCACGCGCGCCACCAGCGGGACGGGCTCGCCGATGAGGCGGCCCGTGAGCGGGTGCTTCCCCGCCTTCATCCTGTTCAGCCTTGTGCCAGCCGTGGCATTGGCGACCTTGCCCAGGCACTTCTCCGCCAGCAGGATGGCCGCTCCTCCACTAGCCCTTGCCCCGTAAGAGCAGCAAAACACCACGTCGCCCATGGTCATCAGGCGGTGCGTCGCGTCGGCCGCCAGCACGGCGGCAGGCGTCCCGCGGCACAGCCCCGCTTCCAGCTGGGCGCGGTCCCTGCAGCGTACCCCGCAGCGGTCGCAAGCGAACGGCAACGCGCTGGCGCCGCCGACCCACTGCGCGCGGTGCCGCAGCGGCAGGCCCACCGCGCTGCCCACGTCGTCGGGCATGAAGAGCTGTGGCCCGCGCTCGCGCTGTAGCCGTGCCGCCACGCGGCGACCGACGCCGTCCTGGCTGGCGGTCCTGCCATCCGCCTGGCTGCTGCCCGCCTCCTGCGCTGCCTGCCGTGCCTCGGCCTCGCGGGGCCGCTTGTCGCCGCCTCGAGCCAGCACGCCCTTCGCCGTGAAGAGCTGCTGCCTGCGGGGGGCCGCCTGCCTCCTGCGCGGCTGCACCAGCGGCGCGTCGTCGCTGTCCTCGCCACCGTGGACGGCATGGCTGCTGCTGCCCTGGCCGCTCAGCGGGGCGTCCAGCGCTGCCCAGCCGCCCTCTGGTGTCGGTGACCTGCCACCGTCCGCCAGGCCTTCGGGGTCGCCGCCGCTGGCCTGGCTCGTTGTCAGCTGCTGGGCCCAGCGGGGCGGCGCAGGGTCTGTTTCGCCCCTGCTGCCAGCGCCACCGCGCTGGGCCAGGTCCTCGCCGTCGGTCTCGTCGTCGGAGCCTCCCGCCAGGCCAGCCCTCCAGGCTGCAGCCGCGAGCGCCGCCGCCGCCAGCACCGTAGGCCCGCGCTGTGGCGACTTGCCTCCGCTGGTGTCGCCATCATCATTGGTCCGCGGTCCGCTGGTGTCGCGCATGACGACCATTGGTCGTCATGCGCCATGCTCGGGCTCGCGTCGACTCCTCTGTAGGGTTCGGGCCTTGGCTGCCCGCGTGGCTGAGTGCGGCGGTGCTTAGCACGCACCATGCCGTGCTGCTCCTCGTGCCGCGGGGCCCTCGTCAGCAGCTGCTTGCCCGTGGTGTCTCTCTGGCCGCCGTTGGCTAACGCACGCACCTGGGCCACCCAGCCCGCCATGCGTCCCACTGCCCCTTGCTGGGAGGCGAAGCGCTCCTCCTCAACCTGAGAGCTGCATGGGTGGCAGGCCGCTCCCATCTTGGCCTCGGTGTCGGCGGCTCTGTTGCCTAGCGCGAGGCGTCGCTCCACCGAGCCGTAGGCGAGCTGGGTGATGACCTGATGGGCCTTGACCTTGCGGAACTGGAGCTGGTTCTGCCCGATGTCTTGGGTGAGTCGCCAGGTCCTCCTCCACTGCTCGGCGTAGGCCTTGCCAGGCGCGCAGCACACAGCAGGCCCTGCGGCGATGCCGCCGAGCAGGTCCTGGTAGTCGCTGTAGACGGTGAACGGGGGAACGGCGTGCTGCAGCATGACCTCCACCGCGAAGAGCTCGCCCTCTCCCACCTCCTGCAGCCAGCCAGGAGACGGCCCGTGGCACGCCCCCGTGACCCGCCCGAGGTGGTCCACTGATGCGCAGCCGACGCCCACCCGCATGCCATCGGGGCCTGCGAGGCAACGTCCCGATCCGTCCACGAAGCCGTCGTCCGTGAAGAAGCCTCCTGGGACCTCTATGCTCCATACCGTGTGCCACGCTCGCGACGGCCTCGGCCCCGCGGCCCAGTTGGGCAGCAGACGCCTGCCCCAAAAAGCCTCCTGCAGCGCGGTGAGCGCGCCCTCGGGGAAGTGGACCTGGCCGATCTCGCTCTCCCTGCGCTCGCGCGCCCACGCCACGCACGCGCCGTGGCGGTGAGGGAGCGTGCCAGGGGCTTCGCCGCAGCGCTGGCACAGTGGGGAGTCGGCGAGGCCCGCGGCATGCAGCTGCTGCTGGGGCCACTGCGCTCCGATGACGGTGGAGCGCAGGCCGCGCCTCCTGCTTCAGCCCGTGCTTCTCGAGGTTGCGGATGACCTTGCGCACTGGCTCCAGGTGGATGCCGTCCTTGAGGTGCTCCAGCCCTTCATGCGCACTTATCTGAGCGTACTGCCACCTCTCGATGGCTCGATCTAGCAATCCTTTGATCGCCCGTGGCCCCACGCCTTCGCTCAGCTCCAGCTCCTCGCCGTCGTGGGAGATCCACCTGCTGGCGGAGACAACCTGCCAGCCTATCCTCCTGGCCGTGGCAAGCATCGCACCCGCTGGCCCGACCACGGCGGCCCATGGGTGCAGCTTATTCCTCTGAGTCGCCTCGGCTCGGTCCAGGGCTCCCTGAAGAATGTGGGCGGGGATGCGCTTGGTCCAGACCGCCTTCGCCCGCTCGACCAGCGGCGCCGCGTTGACGGCGTAGGCTGGGTCCTGCTTGCCCCGCCCCAGCATGAAGGACAGCGTGAGCGAGCGCCTCGCCGTGTCGGTGAACATCGCTGCGCCGACCGCCGCCCTGATCCTGCGCAGCTGCGAGTCACTTCGGCCGAGCACGCTGGCGCCATACGTCATGGCGGGCTGCATGCCCATCCTGCCCACCTTGCCCGACTTGGCGCCCTGGCGTTTGAGGCACGTGACCCGTCCAAGGCGGCGCCTCTGCTTGTCGAAGTTCGCGTCCATGACTTTGGTGCGCCGCTTCGCCCCCACCATCGAGTCCACGCCCAGGTTGCGGTGGTGCTGTTTGACCTGGAGCCGCTGCGCCGTGTGCGTGTACACCCTGTCTGCGATCCACTTGCCAGCGTACGCCGTGGAGATGGCAATGGTGGACTTCGAGCCGTTGACCTCAAAGCCCAGCTTGCGGAGGAGCTCGATAAGGTACTGCAAACCGTCCGCTGCTACCTTGAGCAGGAAGCGCTGCGACCCGACGCAGAGGATGGCGGGGTCGTCGACGAAGGCGAACAGCTGGATGCACTGGCACCTGTCGCCAAAGAGCCGCAGGCTGCGGAACATGAGGACCTTCAGCCATGATGTCGCGAAGCCGCAGCCCGCCAAGATGCTGCAGGCCAGCTCGACCTCGCACGAGACCGCGTCGTCGACCTTGCACCGCCGTGGGCCTGCATAGATGCTGATGCTAGTGCGTAGCAGTACCAGGTTGGCGCCGCTAGCGCAGCCCTCATCCCAGAGCGTCTGGTGGCCCACCCTCTCGTAGGCCTTGGTCATGTCGAGCTGGTTCGAGGCCGTGACCATGCCGACCTTGAGGGCCCACTCCTGGTAGACGGCCTGGTCCCAGACGGCCCGTTCGGCCGTCCTACCGCTCGCGTTGTGGAGGCACGGCAGGTCGTGCTCGCCCTCCCACTGCTGCATCTGTGCCCGCCGCACCTTTGTCCATATCCGAAGAAATCCGCCTAGCAAGGCGATGGGCCTCACCCCGCCCTCCTTCTTGGCGAGGAAGACGATGATGGTGGTCAGCTGCTTCGGCTGGTTGCCGACCCTCTCCATGTATACCATGAGCTGGCCTAAGAAATCTAGCGCCTCGTCGGACAGCATCGCGAACCACCGTGGGTGGAACGCGTCGGAGCCCAAGGCCGTCCGATGCTTGAACTTCCTGCTCGCGGTCCTGATGGCTTCAACCGAGGGCGCGTCCAACACGTGGTGCTTGATCTCGTCCCAGCTGGTGTCCTTCATGGGCTCGCGGACGTTCCAGACCTGCTGGGTCCAGTCTGCGCAGAACTTGTCGGCGGCGTCCTGCACGTCCGCTGCTGCGCCGTTGTCCAGCAGCCCTGGCCCCGGCCCCGGCCCCGCGGGCCCACGCGTCCACTTGTGGGCGAGGCCCGCTCCGTTCAACGTGGCCTGCTTCGCCCAGGCGTCGAATGATCGGCAGCGTGCTCTCTCGAAGTCTTTGGAGAGGCGCGCGCTCACGTTCTGGGCCTGCTCCGCCAGCTTGCGCAGCCGCTGCCAGTACGCCTCGAAGAAGTGCCAGTCCTGAGCCTTCTTGAGGGAGCCGTTCCAGTGCTCCAGGGTGCCGAGGATCCGCTTCGCTGCCTGGCGGTGCCTCGGCTCGTCCCTCTCGTGCGCGCGCTGGAGCTCACGTAGACGGTCGTGCAGCCAAAGAGCCTGGCGCGCCTCGGGGGATGCCTTGGCCACCGCCGCGTTGTTCCGCCTCGTGGGATGCATCTTGACGAAGCGCGGCTCCAGCCCTCGCCCCGTGTACCTCGGCATGTCGTCCTGCGGGATATGGAACAAGCTGCCCAGCTCCTCCTCAGC